GTCCATCCAGTGAATATTTGCTTAAATCTGTCCTCTGGCTCATAAGATATTTTGCTGAAACTACTGACAAACAAACAAACATACCTTTTACCCTTGATGTTGGTTGATAAATAGTGTAAAATGTAAACACATTAAATTAATTTATAACAGTTTTCAGACAAGTCTACATGAAGTAGCTTGTTAGTAGGGGTGCACCGATTTATCGGCCCCAATTTCCTCAATTTTCAGAGATCGGCCGATACTTACACGAGAAACAGATTTTACCGATTTTTTGTAATTTTAACAACAATTCTCTAAACTTCATTTATATGTCAGAGCACTACCTCATGGCCAGTTAAAACAAGTTTGTGTTGCTTCTAGGAAATTATTCAAGGGTATGTTTTTCAATAAAATAAAATTGGAAAATAGAAGGTGCACTGTGACCTTATAACACCTGACGGTGTCATTTATAAAACAAAATGGGTCTCAGACAAAATTGGAATCGGCAGGTCAGACATTTTAGAAATTGGTGATCGGACAGAAAACTGCAATCGGCGCACCCCTACTTATTAGTAGGCCTGTCATAACAAATTTTGATGAGCAATTAATTGTCTCAGAAATGATTGCGATAAACAATAATATTGTTTGAAATTTGACAATAATTAGTAACTGTCAAATATAAGAAGAAATGTTGGTTAATTTTTGTGTGTAGTACCTTTTTTTGACTACTGAATAGCAGTATAAGACTGTCTGAACTGAAGGATGGATAGTGAGGGAGCGAGCAGCGTCTCTCTTTAAGAGAAATGGGAGGCAGGCCCCTTGACATGACATGGAATGTCTTTCCTTCTTTGTTTTCGATTCTTAAAATGGTGGACGCTCTGTGGGGTTTGAGCTCTTTAGCATAGCATTTGTGGACAAGACGGAGGTTTTTTTCCCCAAGGTCGGCCTGTTAGCTTAGCTCGTAGCTTAGCTTCTCCGCTTAGCTGCTTTTAACGATCCAATAACGTGATTTTGGACGGTTAAAACAGATTTTAAAGAGAAAAGAGAAAGGGAGGGGTCAGTGAAGAACACCGGAGCTGAGCCTTTTGTCATCCAGTGTCTTCAGTAGAAAGAGAGAGACATGAAGAAACGATAAATCCGATAAATGAAAATGAGGTCGATAATTTTCATTTATCATGCGATTAATTGATTTATTGTTTTTGCGACAGGCCTACTTATTAACTATTTGCACTGTCACTTCTGTTCTGGTGACATTAAAAAAGTTTTCTGCAGGTTTGACAGAGTTATACTTTTATTATTTTCTTTGCATATGTTTAAAAGAAGGATATGAACTTGAACATACCTTTAAGTCTGCAGTCCTGCAGTGGGATACATCATGTTTAATTTATTTTCATGGCTGGACTGCAGGTTTTATAAAACCAGTTTAATATTTTCTCATAAAGTTGACTCTCAGGAATTTGACCTTTTTTTAAATAAACTGAAGCACGTTAAAAAACAGTTCGCTCTCAGTGACAAGCAGAGCCAGAATGTGGATCCAAACAATTCGTTTCAGCAAATTTAAAGCTCCTCAAGTGTTTTCGGGGGTAATGACGGTCTTTTTATTGATTCAGGAGGAGAAACAAGGTTTTCTTTTTCTGTCCGAGCCTCAGGGAGGAAACATGAGATCAGTCAGATGAAAGACGACCTTCAGTTAACGGCTTCGCTCTTTCCTTCTTGTGAAGCTGTGGGAGTGTTTTGTGTGTTTATGCAAACCATTTTTTAAAATTCTTTGCATAACATGAGCATTAAAAGGAACATTTTATACATTAGAAGTGCATGCACATTATGAACAAAGTACACAAACAAGGCAAACGTCTAAAAACACACAGCTTCCTGTGCTGGCCGACATAAACACACAGAGAAAATAGTCGACAAAACAAGGATGCAGAGACACAAAGTGGACACAAACATACACCGAGAGACGGGTTTAGTGCATGACAGTGTGATAGATGATGGTGAGAAGTGAAGGACACAGACCCTGTTCTTTTCTGCTGGCTCTCTGTCTTTCTGAGGGTCATCAGTCCCAGATTTTAGAAACCACAGGGTCCTAAAAGAATAAACAATTTGGCGTCAACTGAGGAAGGATGCCACTGGTCTCCCCAAAGCCTGGCTGGGAAAGTCAGTTTGTTTCAGGTGATAATCGGCTTTTAGAGTTACAGCAAAACAATCTGATAGAAAGTCATCTTTGTGCACAACACATGGTCCAACAGCTGCTAAAAAAGAGAACTGAATAATTTTGAACAGTTCAAAACTTCTTTCCCTTCTTAGGCTTTAGGGACACCTGACAAAACTGAATCAGTCATTCAATAATTTATTAAAAAAAAACTCAAATGTGGATTTACTAATCAAACTGCTCATGCACTAAACTTATGATTTAAACTGCAAAAACTAATTAAGGAATGAAAAATTAAAGCACACAAGCACACGTCACACAACCCTGAGCCACCCGAAGCACTAAGCAGAGGGAGGGGAATTACAAATCTGCTGCTGTAGCTTTCAGAAACGATGCTCGGGCTCATTAAAACACACAAATATTAATATTTGACTTCATTAATCCTACAGTTAATTAAGCTGAAAGATAATTCATGATGATGTTACTTAAAAACAAGAATATCTTTAAACTTTCTTTAATAATTTTGTGAAAGAATGTCACTGATTCTGTGCTTTGTATGGCAAGTCCTTTGTGTATTTATTCAACATCCTTGGTATTAAGCATCATTTTCAGCCATTTGATCATTGTGGCCGAGATGGTGTAGAGGCAGGGCAGCCGGCTTGGGACCCAAAAGTCCCAGGTTCAATCCCCAGTCACTGCACATCACGTGGTGTCTTTGGGCAGCACACCTCATCCCCAAAATGCCTCCCGGGCGCCTTCAATAGCTGCCCACTGCACCACCTGGTGGTGGATGGGTTAAATGCAGAGACTAATTTCGCCATTGTATGGAAACATACAGTGCTGACATTGTGATGACATTATTATTATTATTATTATTACTACCCTGCACTTGTTGCACGTTCAGTCACACTACTCAAACAAATACTCTTACTAGAAATACATTTTACCAGCTAGTAGCACTTTAATCTAACTAGTTGGAGCTTAAGTCACTCTAGTCAGTCGCACTAGTAGCCCAAACGTCGCGACTAGTTGGCTTTTTCACTAGCGGACCACAGGACCAAATTATTTGATGATAAGTCATACGACTTAACTAGTAAGCATCAAAAATCTTTTTATGTTAACTAGTCGACACAAATGTTGCCCATTGGACGACTAGTGACTGTCAAATGTCAATTGGTGCAACTTAAAATTTTAATCCACCACCAGGTGCAGAGGTGGAGCCAGGGGGTGGCCAATGGTGGCCTTGGTCACCATAGATGACTCTTCAGACACCCCAATAATTTGAGGAAACTACACTTTTAAGCAATATAAAACTAGAAAGCATAGGTTCCTCAAATGATGGGGTGGTCGGTTTACATTAATATAAGGAGGTGGCCATCTTGGATTTTGACGTGGGAACCCAAATTTTTATAGTGACCTTTCAAACACCTAGATGCAGCGACACACCAAAATGGAAGTTGATATGTCACTTATTTTTTGTTATCATGCTCACAACGCAGACGGGCGGACTGAAGGTATTTCCAATTCCCCCTCCGCTCCGTGTCAACTAGCAAAATAGTGAACATTTTAGCATTTACTCTTCAATATTTTTAGTTCACACTAGTCAACGAGTGTGCATAATTTGCATCAACTAGTTACCATGTAAGAATTTCTTATGTGTACTAGTTCACTTGTAAAACTAGTCATTGACTTGTTTGGTCCAGTGGTCCACTACAGCATTAAAAAGCCAACTGGTTGAGACTTTTGGGCTACTAATGCGGCAAAATGGCCGACTAGTGTGAACTATTCTCCAACTAGTTGGCAAAAACATGTTACTAACAAAAGTATTAGTTGAACTAGTGTGACCGAATGTGCAACTAGAGCAGGGTAGTGATGAACTAGTGCATGAAAATGACATTTGATACCAAAGATATTGAATAAATACACAAAAGGCTTGCCGTATTTTGTGTTGTCTTACATAGTCAGTCAGAAATGATCTGCTAAGAATTACACAAGCTTTAATCTAAATAAATAAATAAGTGTAGATGTTTATATGCACATATTCTAGATTTTAATCCAAATTTCCACTTTAGAATAAATGAACTCTGGGCTGTATTAACTACACTTTGATTGATCGTTCCAGTTTAATCCAAATTAACCCATAAATGATTTAATTATGGCCAAAAAAAATTACTGAAGTTTAACAGTTATTTTAAATAAATAATTAATAAAGTAGAAATAGAGATCAATTCTGACCCAACTAATAAACTAATGTTAACTGAACGCAGCAATCTTCAGTGTTTTAGAGCAGTTTAAGCAAATATTCTTTTTTATAAACTTTTAGGCTGAAGTCAGTTTCACTTTAAAAAAGTTGTTTACATTAAACGTTTTATTTAAAAGCATAAATTTGCTCCACAAATCTGTCCAATCACAAAGCTTTATAAACCGTTCCCCTGCTCTGTGTTGCTTTCATGTTTTAATGTAATTTTCTGAGATTTTTTATTTAGTAATTTTATTTTATTACCTTTACAGTTACATCAAATATATCTTATCTTTCTTATCTCGATAGTGACAGCAGCAGTTTGATGTAGCACTTCCACTAATTTATTGATATCTCTAAGAAAATAACTGAATTAAACATTATTTATCCCGGTTGAAGTTCATTCAAAAATCTATCTACAACAGATAAGATAATCATTATTTATAATTTTAAAACAAAAACACACATAAATGGCTGAAATATTCCTTTAAACGTTACAGGATAGATTTATATTCTTTGTGTTTTATAAGTCTGGTTTATTCTGAACTGGCTTTGTTAGAGTTTATATTTGGTTTAGTGCGAAGACAGTTGTTCACAGCCTGAAGTGGACGAGAGTCCCGTCCCCCTCACCTCTAAATCCTCTCTGTGGGACCGGTCTCTGTCCTCAAAGTCTCTGGTTCTGCGCCGGGCCTCTTCAAATGCCGCCTGGGCTAAGGCGTCCTCGTGCTGCACACACAGATGATTGTTTCCAAACACAATAATCAAATCTCAAAGGTGTGATGGGCTGCGGGTACCTGCGCCCGCTCCTCGTCGTACTCCAGGTATCCCATCCCGTCCAGCCTCTGCAGGTCGATCCAGCCTCTCCAGATCACGCACACCCCGTTCAGGATCATAGGAGCCTTGAGATAGACCTGCGGGGGACAGAGAGGTTCAGATCAGTCCGAGCTGTGGATGCTTTGGTTCTGGTGGGAATTCAAACCCGGTCACAGCATTACTAAAAGACAAGAGTTGGGCCCGTACGGCACCAAGTTGTGTAAAAAATGGTTCAGAAGCAGAAACTAAGACTAATTACGAGGCTAGTTTTAAACTAAGAACACATTCTGGTGAGAATTAAACAAGTTTGAGTCATTTTGGTCAAATCTTGAAAATAATGTTGCGTGTTTATTTGACCTGCAGTTTAATATTTAAAGCAATAATAGACATTTTGATTTCTTATTCAGTAAATCAGAAGTCCATCTCAACACAACTTCACCAAACCAGCTGCAAACAGACAGGAAGTCACTTGACGATGAGCAGTTTGACCTTGTGTTGTTTTGTCTTCCTGTGGAAAACAGACGAGCAGATGGTGAAACGTCCCAGATAAAAATGGACTGTTTTCTCCAGCCTGTTTGTTTCCACTGAACCCCGAGCAGAACCGTAGGCCCGGTTCTGACTTCCAGACGGAGAGTTGGGCTCGTCTCAGTTTGCTCTTTTGGTTATTTCAAATGCGCCACACTAACGGGACTGAAGAGTAAAATAACAGCCTGTGTGTGTGTGTGTGTGGGGGGGGGGGGGGGGTGAACACATCTCTGTGTTTAAAAAAATGTTCTGGACTGCCCAATAAAAACTATAAACAAGAAATGAGTATCTTCTGTTAAACAGCTGAGTGACAGCTGAGATTTACTGAATAAACTCAAACATTAAAGCTAAAAGTGGCAAAGACCTAGCTAGAAGTTAAACGGTTAAAGGCTAACTAGCTAAAGTAAATGGAGCACAACGCTAGCTTTAAATAGTAAAAGTCGATTTAAAAAATCTTCTTCTTTCGGCTGCTCACAGCGAACTATCACATACGAAGACATGGCGATTGTTTTTATGCCGGATGTCCTTCCTGACGCCACCACAGACCACGAGCTACCACAGCCCTCTGTGTGGAGCAGAGAGCTGCCATCTAGGGCACCTGGGGGAGCTGATGGTGGGGGTGGGGCCTTGCTCGGGGGCCCAGGGTAGAGTTGCATTCGGGCCCAAAAAATCCGACCCCGCCCGGCCCCAGCCCATAGCCATCATTCCTGAACCCCACCTGACCAGATGAATTAACAGTAATTACAGGTCCGAACCCGAAAGCCCCCCAACATTTTTAATTAAGCTTTGACTGCTTATAGTTATTAACGGTCAGCGGACACACGCGGCTGAGGGGGCAGAAGATTGGGAGCTGAGGGGCTGTTTGTCCTTTCATGGACATCAAAGCACATTAAATCCCTGCTTCTGCCTGCACTCTGCATTATTCATACATGGACCCTGCTCTGACATGTTGGATATTTTTGGTCGTCGGCCGCACGTGTCCACCGAGTGAGCGACTGAATGAACATCCATTTGGGCAATCCCTGGCAGTATAGTCCCATCTGAAGCTTAACAGAACTTTTTTTTCTTTCTACCTCTTTCAAGGCTGGTTAGCGCGCAGTCAAATGGCCACGTGCAGCTGTTGAATGTATGGCAAGCCATGTTGTCATATATTTGGATCGTCAGCTGCGCGCATCTGCTGACTCAATCAAAAGCTTGACACCGGCCCGGCCATTAAGCACATTATTATGGCCCGGCCCTGCCCTAATCTGGGTTGGGCCAGGCCGGGCTTTGGGGTAGAAATGACAACTTTAGCTCAGGGTGGGACAGGTGAGGATGGAGGCAGGTGTGGGTGTTTCACCTTTCCCACCCACATTTTGATAGTGTCAGTCCAGGGAGTTGAACCAGTGACCATCTGATCACAGGCCCACTTTTTCTAGCCTCTGTGCCACCACCCCCTTAAAAGTTTATTTAAAAATAAAGGTAGTAAAAAGCTATCTAAAAGCTGAAGTGGCAAAAGGCTATCTACAAAGGTAAAAATAGTAGCAAACAGCTAACTAAAAGTAGAAAAGTCTAGCTGAAAGCTAAAAGCAGCAAACGGGCTAGCTAAAGTTGAAAGTAGCAAAAGACCAGCTAAAAAGACAGAAGGTTAAAAAAAGAAAAGAAAGGTAGCTAAAACACGGTAAAGTATTTGTAAATGAAGTTAAATGTATTTTGTGTTTAATGTTTCTGCTTTCACACTTGGTTTGTAGAAACAAACTATCAGTGCAAACTCATGAAACTGTTCGACTGTTAAAAAACAAAATAAAAAAAACGGAGTTTAGAGTCAAATGCGATGAAAAGCTGCGATGTTACGTGCAGCAGGTGTGACAACAACATCTCGTGTCTTCTTGATTTCCATCAACGGCAGCTGTCCTTGTCCAGATGTTCATCAGTTTCAGCTGATACTTTTAACTGTTTCAACAAATATTTAAGCATAAATTAAATAAAACTAACAGTCAAACGCTCACACTTAGGCCCATTTTCTATGAAAAGACCTCCACGATCCTACTTTTTTTTTTTTTTTTTGCTCAGGCTATTTATGGCCAGCTGCTCACAGGACCTCTTTAACCACAACTACCCATAGTGCATCAGGACTGCAGGGGAGACCGCACCCCAAGAGACTGTGGGTTTTTGTGTTTATTCCAGCATAAATGTGTGTGTGTGTGTGTGTGCAGGAGAAATGGCTTCCACATCTGTGGAGCTGCAGCTTTTAAAAGAGAGCTTCATTTGGCCTGACAGGGTGTTCGTGTGTGTGAGTTTGAGTGTGTGTGTGTGTAGCATGTGTGCGTTTGTGTGTGTAAGAGGAAAATATGTAGAAACGGCCCGACCACAGACTTCCTCTGAGAGCACCAAGTCAACCCCCACATCCATTTACTGAAACACTCGAACGAAGCCGAACTCACACAGAAAGAAGGAAAGAACGAGCCGAGAGAAATCAGCCGAAAATTCTGTTTGGTACTTTTTGAGCCCAACATGAGTACGGCACACTGAACTGTGCGATGATAATACAGTTCAGACGCTGCGTACCATCACGATAAAGTGTTACTTTTTTTAAATAGACACAACATTATCTTTAATGTCAGTAACAAGATGCATCATTTTCTGTTAAATTCATGTGAATCATCACAGTTTAAACGCGTTTATTGTGATAGAGGGAGAAAATTAAAACATTTATCACGTCTTGGTTTTATTGCGTCTTAGTGTCGGAGTCAGCCTCATTCAAGATGGCCGCCACAGCCAGACCAGAGCAAACGCAGAAATGGCTCTAACTCCGTTGATTCTACAGCTATCGAGTTCATATTTGGTGTGGTAGCAGCTGAGAGTTAGTTCCATCATAGTGCATATATTGAGGCATTAACTGTTAGTCGACACCCTGTCTGTTAGCAAAATATCTCATGGACCACTGGAAGGATTTTATGGAGGAGTTTTAGGATGAAAATCTACAACCCTCAGGATCAGCAGCATCTAAAAGTCTCCAACTCAGTCAGTGTTGCAGATATTGAGCGAATATTTGGTGTGGTAGTAGCTGAGAGTCATCCTCAACACATACTCCGAGTGCTAACAGATGTCACAATGTTCAGTGAGGTTGAGCTTCACATATTTTACAAGATTTGACCAAAATTTCTTCTTAAATTTGACATTACTAATTATCGTCAAATTTCAAACAATATCATCGTTTATCGCAATAATTTCTGAGACAATTAATCGCTCAGCAAAATTTGTTATCGTGACAAGCCTATCTGAGAGCTTCCACACCGGCTGTTCAGTTACGATTGGATCCAACAGAACCAAAGATCGTAAATAAAGATGGCTGGAGCGTTTATTGAACAAAAGTAATCGCCTCGTTTACGAGCTGGACCCTGTTCTGTGTGTTTGGAGCAGAGCGTGTGCACCTGAGTTTCCAGGCTAAAAACGTCCCGTCTACACACCTGCACACAATCGGGGCGACCCAGTTCAAGCATCAAACACTTAATTAAACCTTTAAAGAGCAGTAAGAGAAAAACAGGAACCAACAGGTGTCCACACGTGTAAAAATGTGTCTGAGGTATACTTTCTGTTGGTGTCACTTTACAAAAGGAGCGTGCTTATAAACAACTAATAAATAGGCAATAATGTAGTTATTATTAGTCTTTAAACATTTATTAAATCATTAATAATCTGTCACCGTTAGTTGGATAAAAAGAACAACACTGACACTTTTCTTGCTAAAAATATTCTTCATACAGCAGATTTAAAAATTCAGCTAATTATCTGTAAATTAAACAACAAAGTTTGTTTTGGAATTTAAAAATGTTTATTTATAAAAAATATGCTGAGCAACCTCCCACTAAAGAAAATTAAAAACAATTAACCAAAAAAGTGAATAGATAAAAATGCAGCCTTTGATCTTAGCCATTGCAGATGTTTATAACTGATCCTTGTTGTTATGTATTAGGTTTGTAAACGTTGATTAGTGTTTACAAACTCAGAAACCGTTTTCAAAGCCTCCATACATTATTTATTCAGGGACTCTTATTATAATACAGAAATGTTTGAGTCCGGAGTTCGTTCCATTTGTTTATTTGGGTCCACTGCAGCCACAAGGGGGCGCTTTGCTTGGTTTTGGCTTCAACTTCCAAGTTAGGTGTCCATGTCCAGTACTGGACAAACGTCAACAGGAAGGACCAAAACCAGGACGACAGACCGTTCTTTCTTTCTTTTATTCATTCATTCTTTCTGTCTTTTTTCTGTCTTTCTTTCTTTTTTCTGTCTTTCTGTTTGTCTATCATTCTTTCTGTCTTTGTCTTTCTTTTTTCTGTTTGTCTGTCTTTCTTTTGTCATTCTTTGTCTGTCTGTCTCTTTTCATAATTTATGTCTGTTTGTCTTTCTTTTGTCATTCTTTGTCTGTCTGTCTCTCTTTTCATAATTTATGTCTGTCTGTCTGTCTTTCTTTTTTCATTCTTTCCGTCTGTCTCTCTTTTTTCATTCTTTCTGTCTGTCTGTCTTTCTTTTTTCATTCTTT